AGCATACAAGTATATCCAGCACACCTTTCTCTAGTTTCTACAATGTATATCTATTGCACCCACCTCTAGATGCAGCAGCGTAAATCCAACGCATCCATCTCTAGTTGATGCAGCATATATCCAACGCACCTTTTTCTAGATGCTGCAACATATATCCAACACACCCTTCTTTAGATGCTGTAACGTATATCCAACACACCTTTTACTAGATGCTGCAACATATATCCAACACACCCTTCTCTAGATGCTGTAACATATATCCAACGCACCCTTTTCTAAATGTTGCAAGATATATCCAACGCACCCTTTTCTAGATGCTGCAACATATATCCAACGCACTCTTCTCTAGATGCTGCAACATATATCCAACGCACTCTTCTCTAGATGCTGCAACATATATCCAACGCACTCTTCTCTAGATGCTGCAACATATATCCAACGCACCCTTCTCTAGATGCTGCAACATATATCCAACGCACCCTTCTCTAGGTGCCGCAACATATATCCAACACACCCTTCTCTAGATGCTGTAACATATATCCAACGCACCCTTTTCTAGATGTTGCAACATATATCCAATGCACCCTTTTCTAGATGCTGCAACATATATCCAACGCACTCTTCTCTAGATGCTGCAACATATATCCAACGCACTCTTCTCTAGATGCTGCAACATATATCCAACGCACCCTTCTCTAGATGCCGCAACATATATCCAACACACCCTTCTCTAGATGCTGTAACATATATCCAACGCACCCTTTTCTAGATGTTGCAACATATATCCAATGCACCCTTTTCTAGATGCTGCAACATATATCCAACGCACTCTTCTCTAGATGCTGCAACATATATCCAACGCACCCTTCTCTAGGTGCCGCAACATATATCCAACACACCCTTTTCTAGGTGCTGTAACATATATCCAACACACCTTTCTCTAGTTGCTGCAACACATATCCAACGCACTCTTCTCTAGATGCTGTAACATAAATCCAACGCATCCGTCTCCTTTTCTAGATACTGCAATATATTCAACTCCTCTCCAGTTGCTACAACATATATCCAATGCACCCTTGTCTAGACGCTGCAATTCAGATCAAATGCACCCATCTCTATTTGCCGCAACATATATCAAACACACCCTCTCTTGAGATGCAATGCATATTAAATGCACCCTTCTCTATTTGCTGCAACTAATATCCAACACACCCTTCTCGAGTTGCTGCAACATATATCCAACACACCTTTCTCTAGATGCTGCAACTTATATCCAACACACCCTTCTCTAGATGCTGCTACATATATATATCCAACACACCCTTTGCTAGATGCTGCAACATATATCCAACCCACCCTTTTCTAGATGCTGCAACATATATCCAACAAACTCTTCTCTAGATGCTGCAACATATATCCAACCCACCCTTTTCTAGATGCTGCAACATATATCCAACAAACTCTTCTCTAGATGCTGCAACATATATCCAACACACCCTTTTCTAGATGCTGCTACATATATATATCCAACACACTCTTCTCTAGATGCTGTTACATAAATCCAACGCACTCTTCTCTAGATGCTGTAACATAAATCCAACGCATCCGTCTCCTTTTCTAGATACTGCAATATATTCAACTCCTCTCCAGTTGCTACAACATATATCCAATGCATCCTTGTCTAGACACTGCAATTCAGATCAAACGCACCCATCTCTATTTGCCGCAACATATATCAAACACACCCTCTCTTGAGATGCAATGCATATGAAATGCACCCTTCTCTATTTGCTGCAACTAATATCCAACACACCCTTCTCGAGTTGCTGCAACATATATCCAACGCACCCTTCTCGAGTTGCTTCAACATTTATCTAACACACCTGTCTCTAGCTGCTGCAATATATATCAAACGGATCCTTCCTTAGTTGCTAAAACTTATATCAAACGCACCCTGCTCTAGTTGCTGCAATATATCCAACATACCCCTTTCTAGTTGCTGCAACATGTATCTAAATGCACCCTCTCATCAGATGCTGCAACGCATATTGAACGCACCTTTTTCTAGATGCTGCACCTTATATCCAGGACACTACTCTCTCTGCAGTAATGCAATACAACGTGAATCCAATGCACCCTTCTCTTGATGTTGCAACAAGCAGTATATCCAACACATCTGTCTTGAGTTGCTGCAACATATATCCAACGCACCCTTTTCTAGATACTGCAATATATCCAACATACCCTTTACCAGTTGCTGTAACATATATCCAACACACCTTTCTCTAGATGCTGCAACACAAATCTAATGCACCCTTTGGCAGAAGGCGGTCTATTCGAGCTATCTGCTTGTGGATTTTTGTTCATGCCTGCTATAAGGTCCATTTACTAGCTTTTTCTGGCACTTTCAACCACATCTCATGCTCTTCATCAGCACATGGAGTTCTCTGAGTTGTCAAGTAGTAGCTGGTGTCATGGTCTTTCTTGAAGGGTGTGTTTGCTATCATGGGTCCTTAAACTCTGCTGTATTGAGGTTGATGTATGGTCATGAGAAGTGATGAGTTTGGAGCCTTGATGCTAAATTTAAATTACAAAGAAAAGCCATTAACAGCTCGGAGTTATTCAAACATATGGGGGAGTTGTGCAGCGAGACACTGTAATCTATCTGGTTACTGAGGCTGTTTTACTTGTTAGCAGCATGTTCATGGAGCAAGTGATACTGGCCTGATTTAAGGAGCAGCACTCCACTGGAAATAAACCAGAATGAATCATTAAGCTGCACATGTTTCCCACTGAAAAGTGTGTTTGTGTGCTTGTTAGTGTAAGAGAGAAAGAGAACAACAACTTGTGAATGAACAAGGAAGGAGAGGATGGAAGAAGCGGTGCATGGAGGCAGTCTGGGGAAGGAGATTATGCTCCCTGGAGACCGGGGCTCCTGTCCTACCCATAATGCATTACGTCTCCCTGTGATCTCTCACCTCAATTTCAACCTCTAGAAACGGATCTGTTCCATTTGAATAATTCACCATCAATTTCTCTTCCCGTCGTCCCTTCCCCTCTTCACTCCTGTCTTCAGTCGTTTCCTTCCTCGTGCCTGACTTTTTTTTTTTTATGTGGCCTAAAATTATCTTAAAAAGATCAGTGAAATGTCAGCCGTAATTACGCGTCCTGCCACTCTCTCTCCCTCCTGGCAGAGGTCTTCACATAACTCATTCATACAAGTGTAATTTTAGCTTTGCTGGGATTTTCAGTATTTCCAATATGCCTGCTCAAGATAAGATACTCTCCTCTGGTCTGCACTCCAGTAAAGATGACTTTGCATTGACCATCGTGCTTCTGAAGTGGTTTCACTTTTGTTGCTGTTCAGGTCACCTAACCAACCCATCAGGTAACATGAATGAAAATATATTATTTACTGAAGTGATGAAGTTACTGACATCAGGACCCAAATCAACTATCAGGGCAGCACCACATATCTGTCAGCATCAACACTGCGCTGTGCGCATTTGCAACAATCACTTTGCTGGACTTGCGATGTCATGTGAGGCAAATTAACTCAAACATGTCTTGCTACAACTTTTTTGCTGCTTGATATGCAAGAATAACGTGCACAGTTTTCATTTTCCATAACTAATGTGACCAACCAAGCGTTCCAGTTTAAGACAGGTTATGTGTGTGCATGATGTAGTCTGGTGGTGTTTGTTATGGGAGTTACGAGTCTCCTGCATGTGTGTATAGAAAGTACCGTAAGCGGGCTGGCAAATGTTGCAGATACAGTGACGTGGTTGTTTTTCCAAAGCTACAGTGGTCAGCAGGAAGTGTCTAAATAAACTCAGGTTCAAGTACAATGACAGTGAAAAAGGGCTGTGTTTTATTTCTCTGCACAAATGAAGTAAAGCATGTGTTTAATGCAATGTTCTCATGACGTTTCACAACCATTCTCAATCAGACTGTAAAAGCTAGGTACCAGCTACAAGCCATGCTAAAGCTAAGTGAGTTAGGCTAAAGCTACATAAGTTAAGCTAAAGCTAACTGAATTAGGCTAAAGCTATTTGAGTTAAGCTAAAGTTATTAAAGTTAGGCTAAAGCTAACTAAATTAGGCTAAAGCTATTTGATTTAGGCTAAAGCTAACAGAGTTAGGCTAAAGCTATGTAATCTAGGCTAAAGCTTTTTGAGTTAGGCTAAAGATAACAAAGTTAGGCTAAAGCTATTTGAGTTAGGCTATAGCTATCTGAGTTAAGCTAAGGCTTTTTGAGTTAGGCTAAAGCTATCCGAGTTAGACTAAAGCTATCTGAGTTAGGCTAAGCTATGTGAGTTAGGCTAAAGATAACAAAGTTAGGCTAAAGCTATTTAAGTTAGGCTATAGCTATCTGAGTTAAGCTAAGACTTTTTAAGTTAGGCTAAAGCTATTAAAGTTTGGCTAAATATCATTGAGTTAGGCTAAAGCTACATACGTTATGCTAAAGCTATCTGATTTAGGCTAAATATAACTGAGTTAAACTAAAGCTAACTGAGTTAGGCTAAAGCTATTTGAGTTAAGATAAAGTTCTTAAAGTTAGGCTAAAGCTAACTAAATTAGGCTAAAGCTATCTGAGTCAGGCGAAAGCCATATGAGTTAGGCTAAAGCTAACAGAGTTAGGCAAAAGCTATTTAATCTAGGCTAAAGCTTTTTGAGTTAGGCTAAAGCTATCTGAGTTAGACTCAAGCTATCTGAGTCAGGCTAAGCTATGTGAGTTAGGCTAAAGATAACTGAGTTAGGCTTCCTGAATTTAAGTTAGGCTGAAGCTATTTAAGTTAGGCTATAGCTATCTGAGTTAAGCTAAGGCTTTTTAAGTTAGGCTAAAGCTATCTGGGTTAGGCTAAGCCTATTGGAGTTAGGCTAAAGCTATGTGAGTTTGGCTAAAGCTGTCTGAGTTAGGCAAAAGCTAACTGAGTTACATTAAGGCTATTTAAGTTAGGCTCAAGATGTTTGAGTTAGGCTGAAGCTAATGGAGTTAGCTCAAAGACACCAGAGTTCTTCCAACAAGGGTTCAGAGCTGTAAGGCTGAACATTAATCTGCAAGAGATGAGGAGGAAAGCAACATAAGGGAGCCACTTCATTTTAGGGTATGTCAGGGTTCAATTTTAATGTTTACTTTCCTTGTCCTGTCGGGCAAGTGGATCAAAAAATCTACCTGCCCAAAGTCAGTTTTTACTTCCCCAACACAAATCGTTTTATGTATAAGCAGTTGTCAAATCACAACTTTGAGTTACAACCCTGATTTATCCACCGCACTCTCAAAGTTGCAGCAAACTGTGCCATACATAGAGTTTGACCCACATCCTCTAACACCACCCTGTTTCCAGGGTCATGGAGATGCCTGAACTTTGCCTTTACGCGCCGCCATTTTCTTGTGAGGACCCAAACAATCCCGCAACTCTCAGCAGAGATGGGAAGAAAGCAAGATGTCTCACTCCTTAGCTTCTCCCATCATCTGCTCCAGAAAATAATGTGTTTAATTTTTTTTTTTTTTTTTTTTTTTTTTACAACTTACAGATCGGGTAGGTAAGTTGCTTCATTTCTTGCATTTCTGATATGACATTTTACTTGCTGTAGGCAATCTGGCAACCCTTATTGTTGAGCCCTGATATGAGGACAGTAGTGTCATGGTGAGTCAACCACTGTATTAAACTAACCTAACTTCCCCCTCCGCAAGTCATCAGTTGAAAATTACTGTCATACAGTAAACACATAGAAGAACAGGGTAAAAGGCTGCTGTCATTTTTTTCAAATACAACCACACAACGACTCATAAAAAGACAAGTCTGCACGAAAAATTAGATTTCACTGTTATTATGTAGTTTCACACAGCTGTTAGACCTTCAGAGGCAAACAGCCTGGGAACAATCCAGCTTTAATGCCATATCAGGGCCATGTAATAAGATAGAGAGGGATGGTGGGAAACACTGAACACATTTTCTGGACACAGTGATGTGAACTGCGATAACATCCCAAACAGCCTCATGACATCCATTACATTTCTAACCGTAAACCCGCGTGGCGTTGTGTGTATGTGTGTGTGTTTATGTGTGTGACACTTACGACAAAACACGGTCCCGCTGAGGTCTTTAGACATTCCTCCAGGAGCTTCATTCGGAGTCGCTGCAGCTCTGGACTGTCCCACTCCTCTGGGTCCACGCCCCAGTACAGGTCCACCACCTGAGAACACACAAACATGGACCCACAGTTACTTTATGCTCTGATATAAGCAAAAATACAAATTCTGTTAATTCAGTTTTGTGCAGAATCTTTCTCCTACATCTAAATAGTGAAGTCTCTCTTGTCCTTTGTGAATTATTTCCACTATAGACAAAAATAAATAGCACAGCCATCTTCCTCAGCTCGCAACAGAGCGAGTAAATGATAGATTTTCCTGTTTAAGAAACAAGGTTATACACTCGCTACTTTGCAGAGAGACTTTGCTGTCACAGTCCCAGTCCTTGACTATCATCAGTGCTACGTATAGTATGCATAGTATAGTCAAGGACTGAAATGTTTGCTGCTGTTTTTATTCACCTTTTATTATTTTTTTGCACTTTGAGCACCCTTATTTTTTGTGCACAGATGTCCTAAATAAACAATTTTTTGCACTGATCTCAGCCTGTGGACATTTTTGTGGCTGTCCAGTGCGGTTGCATTGGTGTGCAGGTATCTTCTGTGCCGCCCTTTCTTGTTTGTCCATTGTAGCGACTACTGACGCAGCCAAGACAGACTTTTTTTGTTGCCCTCAGTATGCAAAGTTTCACAGCAGTTGCATTACAACAACGGTTTGGTTAAAATAGTCGATTGATCTGATTGTAATTGGCATGTGAAGCTTTAACCTCTTTAATCTCGCCGGTAGTAAACGGGCCACGGCGCTAAATTACTTACGAATGTAGCATTGAGAGGCTTCAGTGTTACCAGCTCTTTTATCTTTAACTGTTAGCTTGACATGGGAACCCTGTATTACTGACATAATATAGAAAAGAAAGTAGACCAGATCGGCAGATCGGTGCTGCAGTGATGGTTTTGGCTCTGTAACTTTACGTTCAGACCAGAAGCTTCCAAAGATGCAAAGTCTCTTGCGGACGCCCACGAAGCATGACTATCAAAAATATTTGTGGCAGCTTTGGTCGCTCTAGTCGCTCATCACGTGAATCATTGAACGTTCGATCGTGCTTGTCAATTTAAAGGAGCCGCAAACTGGACTACTGGCTTGACAGCAGCGTAGTTGCTGCTTGCTGTTGTCCAGTCAGAAAGCTCATAGTTGGCCTACAGAAAGTTATGTTTGGTCAATGAAAACAGAAAACGTATGTCATCCCATTTAAACCAAGCGATGAAGACTTGCATGCTACGTTGCAACATTAGCCTCCAATTCTCTCCTCTGTTACGAACATTACACATTTTAAAACTCACCAGACCAACCAACTACCTCCGCGACGCCGTCCCAAGCCTCATTCTTTTTATTTTGGTCTCTGTAACCAAACAGCGACACATTATAATGGACTGAGTGGGCGCCAACGCAAGTAATCAACTTCTCGATATCCATTGTTGGAACAAGTGTGCTGTAGGAACCAAAGTTACATGGCTTGTTCTCTGGGAACCGCTTCATCGAAGCACGTCAGCATTCCGATTGGACCCGCTCCGGTCGCTTTGGTCACCTAAGACGCACGGCTGACGACCAAGTCGCCGAGCTCTCATTGAAAATTAAAGACTTCCCCCGTTTTGGAAGATCTGGTCGCTGTTGGTGTGAACGTACACTAAGGAGCTTAAGGAACAGATGCAAAGCTCAGTAGCCAGCTTCTCGCTTTCAGGGCACCTTTTCCTCCTGTTTGACGTTGAATCCGGTGGCTCTGTGGAGCTCTGTTGCCAGTCTCAGAGCTCCGTAGCTGGCTTCCATGCTTCGGAAGCGGTGCTCTCATCCAGATACGCTCTCAGGTTCCAAAATTTGGCACCGATGGATTTAACATTAATTTGTACTCAGTAGCGCTCACATAAATTGGTTGGTACCCTTAGAAGTATTGAGTTAGGTACCCAATAGTCTCTCTATATAGACTCTACATTCAGTGAATGTAGAGTCTGTAGGCAAACCCAAGAGATCTTGCCTCCGGAAGAAGAGCGGAAGAGCCCTGGTTTCTGGTTGTAGGCTGTTTGTAGTCCGCGTGATTTTGACCAATCACATTTGAGCCGGCTGCAGTTGTTGCCAGGTTAAACGGTCCGTGCGGTGAACTAACGAGGCGGAACATAACTGGCGTCACTGCAAACTCTGAATCCATCGCAATGGTTCAGTATATTTAGTCGGAAACAGAAATTCGCCTCCTTCGCCCAAATCAAACCAGAATGCCAAAAAATCAGGGGTCTGCCCCCAGAGGCTGTATCCGCCGTCTGCCGGAAGTCAGACGCCGAATACAGCCGATGGGTTCCGAGAATGGGTACCCAACACTGATGTTGTCAGACACAGTAACAATTTGAGCCTGTCAGTGGCAAAGAAGAGCACCTTTAATGGACGCGAATTTGCAGGCTGTTTGCTGCTGCTGGCTGCAGCACTCTCAGACAATACTGGACCAATTTAAAACACTGTCGCTCCCATTAGTCACTGAGACACAAAGACATAGGAAAATAGAGTCCAAGTTGAAAAAACAAAGGCACCCTTTAAGGGAGTTTGAGGAAACCTGATGCCAAGTTTTGGGTTTTCCAAATGCAACAAAGAGTAATTAAACAATGAGGATCAGCAGGCTTACTCTCTGAAATCTCACTCGAACTAATGCCATTGCTGTTTTCAGCTCTGACTTACACACACACACACACACACACACACACCTGCTCTGTGCCACTGAGAACCCCTCCACCACTCTGAGCGTTAGAGGCCAGCAGGGAGCAGCAACTGAACACACACGCATCCACACACACACTCCACAGAGGGGGTCTCCCTCTACACATTCGTCACAAGGTTTGGCAGTTCAGACAATTCCAAGTGTAAACACACCACAGAGAGACACAAGGAAACACACCACGCTGCTCAAAGAGGAAAACAAGCCCTCCTACCGGCTGCTTCCTGCGTCTCTGATTGTTTTTAGTGCGCTAGTTGAGGCCTTACGAGAAGATGCTGATGGTTTTTGCTGCTCAGAGGCTCAAATTTTAGTCTCCAATATAAATACTGTGCATAATTCCTCTCTGTTGCAGCTATTGATTCTGCTGGTGCTCCTCCCTGATGGCAGTGGTTGAGGAGTAGAAAGTAGAGTGGGGGGGGGGGGTGAGGTGAAGCCATAGTGATTCAACAGCGAGGGCTGCAGACTTCCTTCATGCTCTGCTGCTCGGCAGACTAGCTAGCTCAAATGAGTTTAGCCTGGCACAATGACTGACACATCCGCAGTGTGGCAGAGAACAGCGGTGACTGGCAGCCCTATATAAGCACACCGCACTGAAATTGAGAGAGTGGGACTTTACTTTGACAGTCGGGGGGAGATATTCGCCTCTCCCATTATCAGTGGGAGCAGCAGGAGGGCTGGAGCTGCACCTCGGCTCATCTGCTTGATTGTTGTCGTGCACCTGTGAGCAGCTGTGTTGCTGCGAGAGGAGACAGGTTTTCAACTCGCTGCACATTTCCTCCACAGCCCCGGGGCTGCAACTAACAAATATCCTCATTATCAATTATTCCGCCGGCTGCCAAGCTTTCCTATGGAGGACTAAAAATGACATGTGTGTAAATAAATAAATACAAACAAATAAATAAAAATACAGGAGTAAATAAATAAATGCAGAGGCTTAGACTTTCTAAAAATACATAAATAAATAAATGTAGTTATGCAACATGTAGAAATAAATTTTATTTATTTATTTATTTATTTATTTATTCATTTATGTCCTATTTGATGATCAACTTTTATTCACGTATGCATTTATTTCCGTATTAATTCCAGCATTTATTTAGTCATTTATTCTTTTTTTTTTATTTATGCATGCATTCTTTTCAGCATTTATTTCACCATTTATCTACTCTAATTTATTTCTGTATTTATTCATTTACACATTTATTCATTTATTTTTTTAATTTATTGACACTAAAGTCATTCTTTGTCCTCCATAGATTTGTGCCTTGTAACGTTATCATGCAACATAGGGTGATTATTACTTTTAAAAAAGACAGTTCACAAAACAAAGCAAAAACAAAACAAATTCCCAAAGCCCAAAGACACGACTCTAATTTTCTTTTATCCAAAGCCCAAAAAATATTCAATTTATAGTACTATTTATTTATTTATTTATTACTGATTATTTTTCTATATATTTTTTTCCATTGATCACTTATTCATTTGGCTATCACATAAGACAAAGAAAGGCAGAACTGACCTAAACAACTGATTATCAAAATTTGTTTTAGCTCTGAATTAAAGCTGCAATGATGAATCAATGAATTGCTGAGTCGATCAACAGAAAATAAAAAAGGAAAAAACTAAAAATGCGACCACAGGGAACCTATTTGTCACCGTTCAAGCGGGGGAATTATAAGTGTGTAACACATCAAAAGCCCTGATTGGCTGATTAGATTTTGGTGAAGGTCACTGTGACCTTGCATCCATCTCATTTTCGTGAATATAATATTTCAAGAACACCTTGAGGGACTTGCCTTAAATTTGGTAAATGCCCACTTGGACTCAAGAGTTCACCCATTAGAATTTGTTGGTCGATGGTCAAATGTCAAGGTCACTGTGACCTTGTCTCTCTGATTATTATGAATGTGTTATCTTAAGAACACCATGAGAGAATGTTTTCATATTTGGCACAAACATCCACCTGGACTCAACAATGAACTGAATAGATTTCAGTGGTCAAAGCTCAAGGTCACTGTGACCTTGCATCCATCTCATCCTTGTAAACACCTTGAGAGACTTTCCTGAAATCTGATACAAAGGTCCATTTGGACTCAAGGGTGAACTGATTAAAATTTGGTAGTCAAAGGTCAAGACATGAAGTGATAATTGTTATATCCAAAAGGTCAAAGGTCAACTTCACTGTGACGTCATAATGTGACACTCTTCTGGCCATTACTTAACATCAAATTTCAGAAACAGAAGGGGAGAAAGGTCAAATACTGAATTGGTGACACTAATCTTATGTGTCCATCTTGAAACTGTGCTGATTGTATAGATCTTCTGTGCTGTCGGGAGGAAGATGTGTGT